TCAGCAAAAAAAAAAAAAAAAGGGGGGGGGGGAAAGAGAGAATATTTGAAGAAGAACAATTGGCCATGGTTTTATTTAACTGGTTTCGGGACTTGGATTAAGGATCGAACAATGTAAACGCAGCTTCAACGAGAATGAAGGCGTAAATAAGAAATGCTAACAACGTGACGCAAGAGGAGTCACGATGATGTTATCAATGGAAGGTAATGGCTCGTCTCTTGAATAAGGGCGAGTCAAAGATAAGAGAGAGAGAGAGAGAGAGAGGAGAGAGGAATTTAATTACGAGAGGCACGCTAATGCAAGGTCGCCGTCGAACAGTCTAATTAATTTAAGGTGGTGGCTACGCGATCGTTCGACTTGTAACAGGGTTACCAGTTACGATATTCTGGCGAAACGACGCGAATTCTCGCTGAAAGCGTTTAACCACGCTCGATTTCACCAGGCTGAAAATTTACCGGAATGCTGACCGCGGCCAATAGATTCGACGTTTTCGATCGTTACGCGAAAGACGTTCACTGCCGACCAATTCTCTCTCTCTCTCTCTCTATTCTCCGATTCGAAGCGAATTTTTCGTGTACACGTCGAAACGGAACAATAGACCTGAATGGTCAAAATATCGAATTTATCCCTTAAACGCGTGTCCCTTTTTTCTTCTGATGAGAAGAAATTTCCTCGAGATGCGAAATTTCACAAATTTCGCAAATTAAAACACAAGCTTCCTGCTCTTATCGAGTGCAGAAATTTTACCACGAAAATTGTTAAATTACAAAATTTACCTAAGAGAGACCGAAAGCTTACACACGCTTCGCCTCGAATTTCGATTTGCCAACGAAATATCACCGACGATACATCTATTTATTCGAGGAACGGCGGGGAAAAAATTGAAGCTTGACAAGTTCGCGACTACCGGTAAAACAGTCACGATTGTCTACGCTCTTGTGGTTTTTCAGACACCGGAACACGAGGGGATGTCGCCGAGGCAGTCGGACCAGGTTTTCGCCACCGATCGATCCTGCACCGATATCCTGGCTCTGATCGTGCTCATCGGTTTAGTCATCGGTTTCGTACGTTCAACATCTTCTTATTCTCTTTCTTTCTTTCTTTCTCTCTCGTCTGTTGTCTGAAACAACGCACGTATGTAAAACACACGCGACGCGTTTTCCCGTTGTCTGTGCTCAGGGTTTCCTGTTGAGCGTTGTCGTGCAGAAAGGGGACATTTACCGGGTAATAAATGGCTACGATGACTGTGCTAACGTCTGCGGGCGTGTTACCAGCAGCGAAAGTAATCCGGAATTCGCATGCAAGGGTGCAGACAAGACGAAAGAGCGGTAAGCATAACCTGTTCAATGTACGACGTGAAGTGGTGCGCGCGACTCGCACCGGGAGATCCGTTCCATTAAGAAAACCTCAATTACGCGATCAACGATCGCGAGCGAAAAGAAACTGAAAGTTGCCTCTGGCGTAAACACGTTCTCGTGACAACTGGAATTAGCGGCAAGTATTCCCCGGCGAATTCCAATCTGTTCTATCCCCATAAACATCGACGATAATCCGTATACCAACAATCTATCGGAACACGAGTACGCACACGCGTGCGTACACAGCGTAGAAGGCGAAACCCCCAACGGCCTTGCGGATAGGCTCGCGCCGATATCCACAGCTTCGCCAAACACCGCTGCTCCCGAAGGATTAATAATTCGTCGACGCATTAACATCGAACTTCATACTCGCAACAACAATGCGGAATTCAATATTCCGCCTCGACGGTCGAATGAATGAAACAAGTTCGCGACAATGGAACCCGCTAACGATATTAATAATACCTCGGCGAAGCGAGGCGCGTTCCGCGTGGCTGTCGCTCGATGAATGCGTGATGAATATGTCAAATCGCACAGGAATGCTCCCCGCTTTCAACGCGGAAAAATAAAGAGGAGAGCATTTCTTCGATCGCGGAACGAAAATTTTATATCGCGATTTTGTTATTGCTAATTTGAGAGTAATATAATTGCATATTATATTATATTATATATATTGCATATATTGCATCTGCGTTCTAAAAACGGCAGAATTTTAGATCGGTCCTTCTTTAAAATTTACGACTCTATTTCTAACTTTTGCTCGGTATACTTTAGCTCCGGCGATCTCGATGACCGTACCGTGAACTCGTTTATACCTGTCTACGTACGTTTGTGTACGTTCGATTAAAACACGACTTCGTGCTGGTTTGTTCTCTGCAGATCTTTCATTCCTGGCGTTGCCAGTGAAATCTCGGCGGGAAACTTAGCCGGACCGGGGTGAAATAACGCGGGTTAATTAGCGTGAATGTTGCGTATAAATTCGATACCCGGGTGGAAAACGCGCGGCAACTTTCCAATTTCGGGCGACACTTTTCGCGCAGTCGTTCATTAACGTCGTTACTCATTTATTATTCATTTCCCCCAGGTACCTGCAGATTATCATGAACACGAACGGCGGAGTGAAAACGCGAAACTGCGTGACCAAATGCGGCGATCAGTTAGTATACCTCTGCTACGCTCTGCGCCATATTTCCACCGTTTGCAGAAAAGAGAAACCGGGACTATAACGTTTCGTTTTATTCGCAGGGATATAGTGTTCCTGAATCGTTGCGTGCCCAAGGAGACGGCCGAAACGGCCACTTCTTTGCTCAGGAAGCTCGGTCTTGAAAATTTTTACAAGGTTCGTAACATTTCATTTTCTTTTACCATCGATCAAAATTGGATTCTTCCTCGTTCCTTTTCCTCACTTCCATTCTTCTTTCACCTCATCCAGCCACTAAATTATAGCAATCGTGGAATCGATACAAACCGTTGTCGACAGATAAAAAATACAAGCCTCGCGCAGCATGTAACCGAAGGAGAAGCTTGTCTTGCGCAAACTAAAAGAACAACGTCGCCGCCAGTTTCAACTTCAGTCTCGCCCTCTATATAGCCCCGGGTTGATTTTACTCTTTAAAACGTGTTCAGAAGCAGATTTCTCTCTTTTCAGGAAGCCTCCAGGGATCTCGGCGTTGCGTGGAGGGAGCTAGTCTACTTATTGCTGATCGCTTTAGGTACCTACCCCGCGCTTTAGGTTTTTCTTCCGAAAATCTTCGCTTCTTTTATTTCTATAACCGAACAAAATTTTCCTAACGCCCGTCTCTTCGTTCTTTATCTTCAGCCTTCTCGTTGGGCATCTTGATAGCCTTCCGTTACATGGTGCAGTGGGTCGTTTACATCGTCTTAATAGGTGCTATTCTAGCGAGTATCGCTGGTTCGGTATATCTTTGGTAAGACTTTTTAATTAGCACTTGCTTACTTTATATTGCCAATTTCTCTTGAGAGATTTGGCACAATCTCCTCGCGGTTGGGAATTATTTAGCGGGCGTTAAGAGCGAAGAACGTTACGTTTGCGCAGGCTGGCGTGGTACGCCGAGAAAAAGGGAGTGGAAATGCACGAGATACCAGAGGAGGACTCGAGCGAGCAGGCTTATCTCGTTTACGCGATCATGCTGACGATAGTTACGGTAAGGGACACTCTCATGTCGAGATGAGAATCTTCGTTCTAGATTCTGGAGTTGTTCACTGGATTAGTAATTTATACAGGTTGTCACGCTTCTGATCGTCCTGGTGATGAGGAAAAGAATCGCCCTGGTGATGCAGCTGTTCCGCGAGGCGGGGAAGGCCGTTTACGCGATGCCAGCGCTCCTTCTTCAGCCTATATACGTAAATATTTGTTAAGATCAATGTACACACGCTGGGACAACATTTTCGTTCACCTGGATCATTCTCTCTGTTTTCCGATAAACAGACTCTTAGCATATCAAAAGAATCCCGAAGCTCCTCCTCTCAGATTTCATTGGCTTTTCCTTCTTTCCTTCCTCGTTTCAAATATCATCGGAGTTTCTTGCCTCTATATTTATCTATTTCTTGCAATTTTTCTATCCGTTCACCTTCTCGGTGAAAAGCGCTGCTTTATCTTTCTGTCAATATTCATTTCCTCCTCGATATCGAGAGTTACACAGCACAGAAACAGAAGAATATACACGGTACGACATACTCGATGTAAATGATAACGTGACAAAGGAAATGATTTATGCAGTGATCTAAAGGGGCCCCGTTGGTCCGGGGATAAAAATTCGGTCGGACCTTGAAATCTTTTATACCGTTTTCTTTGACGTAGAATCCTCGATGCAAGATACTTTTCCTCCAAGCAAGAATTCTAGCAATTTCTTTTTTTTTTTTTATAAAAACAGATGCACTATCATTGCGTTCAATCAATTAACCTTTCATTTCACGTGCTGGGCCTGTGGGATGATCTCGATGCGAGGCATATCGCTATTCGCATCGGTCATTTGTTCATCCGTGCTGACTCGATGGTTAACCTTAAAAATGCAACGTCATCGATTTCAGACTTATCTTCTGATCGGTTCCATCGTGTGCGCTTGGGTTTACTGCATGCTCTGGATCGAAAGCGCAGGGAACATTTACAAGAACCGGAAGAATCACATTCATTTCAGGAAGGACGCCGTTACAATTGTAAGTGATCGATCCGAGGTCTTGACGAAAAGCGATCAAGTCGATGTTCAACGAAGACAGAAACGATGGAGGAATTTTTATTTTTTTTTTTATTTTTTTTTTTTTTGCAGGTGAGTAGATGGTACAATTTATTTTTCTTCTTCGTCACCTGTGAGTTTCTACTGGGCTGTCAACATATGGTCGTTGCTTGCGCCGTTGCGCGTTGGTTCTTCACCAGGTGACACTTTGATCGATATCATAATTCACACGTAAATTGTTCTCGATCCGAGAGAGTGTACGATGGAAATTTTTCCACGTTTTTTGTTCTTCGCAATTTAACAAATTCAAAGAACAATATATGTGCATATTTCGTTAAATTATATTTATAATTATATTTTCCTTAAATTATATATGTATATGTTTCTTTAAGTTATACATGTAAACAAACTTAAAGGATAAAGAACAATCCGAAGAAAATCGAGACAAATCGTAAAAATCACAAACGTTCGTCCAATATAAAAGAGCCAAAAATTCTTTCGAACAGGGACAAGAAGCACCTTTCTCTGCCAATTGCCGGTGGCTTCGGCTATCTGATACGATATCACTTGGGCACGGTGGCGTTTGGCGCGTTGGTCATTGGCATTATTCGACTGATAAGGGCCGTAATTTCCTTCGTGCAAAATCGCTTGAAGCATTACGACAATGATCTCGTGCGGGTAATCCTGTGGTGCTGTCACTGTTGTATCTGGTGTTTCGAATGCGCTTTGAAGTTCCTCACAAGAAACGCATACATTGAAACAGGTGTGTATATCACGCGCTCATCTTTCCACATGTAAACATTTGCCACAGTCTCTTCATATTTTTCTAAAAATTTCACTTTTCTTTCAGCGATATACGGTTGTAATTTCTGTACGGGAGGCAGAAAAGCTTTCCAAGCCTTGTCCAGCAACATACTGAGAGTCGCAGCTATTAACAGCGTTGGCGACTTTGTTCTGTTCTTGGGAAAGGTGATGGTGGTTACGTTGACCGTTGTTTCAGGAATCTACTTAATACAGGTACACGTCCAATGTCCTACCGCAAATCGATATTTCAACGTAGATCTTTTAATCTTTTTGTCTGTACAGAAGAAAGAAGGACTGCATTATCCATGGATACCGATCGCATTGGCTGGAGTCTTTGCCTTCTTGGTGGCCCATTGTTTCATTTCCATCTACGAGGTGACTTTTGCAATAATATTTATTTAGGCAAAGTTGTATCTTTGCGTACAACGCAGTTCCAAATTTTTTCCAAAAGAGATTGTACGATCGTACGAAAACAAAATTGATCATACACTGTTACAGATGATCATAGATACAATATTCATTTGTTTCTGCGAGGACTGCGAAAAGAACGACGGGATCAACAGACCGTACTTCATGAGCCGTGGATTAATGGTGATCAACATTTTCTAGATCCATTCGTTCCTCTGGAAACAAATTTTTAAAACTGTCTTAAAATTCTGTCCTCGTTTCAGGAATTCGTCGAGAACAGTAAGAAAGCTCTTCAATACGCGAATCATCGGACGTAATCGAGGGTATTTCAACGTTCGTTAAAGATCGATCGATTCGTGCATTTCAAGGATGCAAAAGTCTTCGGAATCACCGTACCATAAAACACCAGAAAATGCCTGACGAATGAACGTCGTACTGAATGTTTGTTCCTGCGAATTCTCCACAAGCGCACCACGTGTTTCTTTACCTCTATCTCTAACAATAAGTACAAGTACAGTATATATCGTGCAGAGAAAGATAATGTCAGACAGTTGAAATCACGAATTTTCACCGACAGTCTGTTCTATATACTATAGTCATAGCTATTTTAACTACGAATAATCTATATTTTTAATATATCGAAAAACGATACATATATTATTAATGTTTATATCCGTGAATGGGAGGAATATATCAGATATATATATCGGACAGACTTCTGTGAACAGATAATAAACATACATACGTACATATTTAACTACGTACGTCTGTAACTTGACACGCAACTTTTCACGGTGATGACACTGTACCTGCACTTATTCCAATAAATGCAGTGTACGAACACACGTTCTCGCGTTATTCCGTTCGCAAGGATGAACAGAATTACCATTGTCGTTATTTCCACGTTATAGAAATTGCCTCGAGCTTTCGGTATCAAGGAAATCTGTGTCTCAACGCAGGTGTGAAATTCTGCAATTTTTGCAGCAGAGCAGCTTGTTACATATATATTATATGTATAAATATATAATTGTTAAACATTCCGGTTCCTACGAAATCGTACGATTTACGTCGCGAAACATCGAAATACTTTTTTTTTTAAATCGATCACTTCTCCATGACTCGTTTTAGAAACATTCGCGTGCATTTACTTCGTGTCGATGATATATCGTAGGTTATCTTTTCTATCGTACTATAAAGTATATCGTTTGTATCATATAAGCATATATATGTGTAATAATACTCGGATAGGTACAACGAGCTATCACCGCGACATTGTCGAAGCTCCAAAATATACGCGTGGGTCCTGCAACGCGAAGACGTCTTGGAACACGTTTGAAACTTGGTGTCGCGTTTGCCAGGAGCCTTTTGAACGTTTGCCAGTAGTCTGAAAATTGATTAAAAGGCGATACCGCGAGTAAAAGCGCGCTTGGTGCAGCGCCGATAACGCTATCTGAGTAATTGCAGTCGCATCGACTATCACCTGTCTCTGTACATACATTCTCCCTTTTCTTTTCTTTTGTTTTGACGTGAAAAAAAGCACCCATCGATCATACGCGGCGTCACGCCCCTTCGATGATCGATCGTTAAGAGATAAGGTACAACGTTATTTTTAAACGTGATCGCAGCTTTATGTCACACGATCGCCTCGATCCCGAAAAATCATAAGTATATTATAATTTTAATAAAATTCATATTTTATGAAATACGTTTCCACGAAATGGAAAATTTATTCCGAGTGACACACTTTCCTGCGTTTAAGCATTTAACAGGTACTTTTTGTAACTGTTGGCCGACTTGGATGAAATAATAATCAGTTATGACGATATCAGTTTCAGACAATTTCTTTTCAGCCTTTTTTTTTTTAAGCTTCGCGACATTTCTCCGCAGGGTTTAATTTTTTAGTTCGTGTTTAAATTTGGGCTTCTTTCTTCCGAAAATCAACAATTATACATTGTAATTAATACAAAAATTGAACAAAAAAAGGGAAGATTTGTTGAAAGTTGAACATTTTCTTCAACGAAATTTCTTTTTTCTCTTGTAAAATTGAAACTTTCCTAACTTCAAATCGATTTAAATAAAACGAGATTTATTTAATAGGCTGAGCTGAAAATGTTGGTCACCCAAGGCCATCACATACTAATTCTAAATTCTTCTAAAGTTTCTTTGCGTGAAGAAAGATGAGTGATTATCGAGAAAAGATGCCAAACCCCGTCAACTTTCTTTCAAAGACCATCCAAGACCGCGATGAATGATCCTGAACGTTGAACAGTTGGTGAAGGGAATATGGTTCAGTACCCTTGAGCAATTTTTTCTCCCACTTATGGTAACTATTACTAATCTATTCTAATTACCTTTCGTTGCGATTTGGAAAGCAGCAGAAAAGAAAATCTCAAGGGAAAGGAGTCGGGAACTTAGACACAATGTGTCGGCAGAAATTCGCTCCATGTGATTCATTATTTCTTTTTTTTCATTTATTCGTTTCGGGCACATAGTTTATTGCATGAATAGTTTATGCGTTTCCGGTACACCGCGACGACACGCGGTCTTCGTTATCGGCGCACGCAAGTGTGGATCTTTATTTCATTTTTTTTTTTTTTCTTTTTTTCGTTTGTTTGTCTGTTTTATTACATTCAGCTGGCAGTAAGTTGGGCCGATATTTACGAAATCTAAAGCAGACATTTGTTTTATATGTATATATATACCCTTTTCTTATATATATATATATATATATATATATATATATATATATATATATACGTATATATATATATATATACATATATATAT